GTATGTATTACAGTACTCAGCTTGGTAATGGATGAGATGGCAGATCTGCGCTTATAGACCGGCGTGTATACCACCACGGCATTCCATGCGAATGCTGCTGTCAGTAGACCGTGGGCCTGTATCCACATATCAGCAGCATGGTACCACGTGGGCTTCATAACGCAATGCGCAAGCGGTGTGAACTCCACGTGTAGGCTTGTGCATATCTTACAACCCATTACTAATCTGAACTGTATCTGGGATGGATGTGTTTTAATAAAGATCGTATCGGGCCCATCCAGGTACAGACTGATATTTTTAGAGAGTGCTTGTGCAGAGAATGTACATACCAATAGAAGATAGTAGGACAGGAAATATGACCTCAGATGGCTCATAGGGGGGAAGGGGAGGAAGTCTGCTGACCTCAGAAGGTTCATGGGGGAGGACCAGTGATAGATAATAGCAAAGGCTATGCTCCAATTGGAATGTATATCCTCTGTATAGGTACTCCCCATTGTATTGTTCGGTGGGAGGGATTGACTTTATTCATGTGGGGGGCATGTGTGTATTCTTAATAAAACAGAGAGCGGAGCCTAAAATCGGCCCTGATGTGGATTGCAACACCAGCCTTAGAGTGTCGTGTGATCATTCTAGGGTAACGGAGCTCCATCACCCACAAATTCAACAGAACCAAAGTATTTGGATGGGCAGGAATCGTGTAGTTTAGCTGCAGTCGTGGTAAGCGAGATTCGCACAGCTTTATGGGGGATTTCTGCGCATCCAACTGCGAGTACTCACGGTAAGGAGAAATTCGTTAAAGCGAATTTCCAAGACACCTGGTAACCAAGGGGTGTATACAGGCTGGTACTCAAGTGTTTAAAGGGATATCATGGGTATTTTAGGATCTGATAGGTATTAATTAGAGATGAGCGAAGTATTCAAAAATTCGATTCGGCTGATTCGGCGAATTCGCGGAATAAATTCGATTCGAGTCGAATATATTCGCCGCGAATTTAACTTATAAAAAGGGTGTTTCTAGGCTTCAGAGAGCCTTCATATTAGTGCAGAACACTGTACCTTTAATTTAAATGCCCTTGGAGTCTGCTGGGGAAGAGAAATAATACTGTCAGTCAGTATGACATGCAGATGAGTGCCGTCCATCTTAGAATCACCGCACACTTCACTCATTTGGGCAGTCACGGGGCCAAAACCAGAGTGTGGAGCCACAGTGTGGCGGTGGAGGCAGCAGCAATGGGAGGCCATACAGCACCCTATGACAAAATGGAAACCAGCAGCAGTGTGAGGAGACCTGAAAGTGGCACATGGCAGAGTGTGGCGATGGAGACAGCAGCAATGGGAGGCCGTACAGGGACCCATGAGACACTCTGGACCTGGCAGCAGCAAGAGGAGGCGGTACAGGGGCCCATGGCAGATTACGGGCCTGGCAGCAGCATGAGGAGTCGGTACGGGGGCCCATGGCAGATTACGGGCCTGGCAGATGACGACGAGGCTGCCAAGTGCGATCAGCCTCATCATCATCAATTAGGGTCTCCGCCTCACTACTAGCCCCCTCGGTTGCGTGTGGGTCAGGAGACAGACCTGTCTCTAGACCGGCTACCGAGCCACTCTCCTCGCCAGTACTTCTTCGCCTGGCTGCTGAAGAGGCGGATGTCTCCCCCCGTTCCTGACCGCCCTCTGTTAGCTCTTCCTCACTGTACAGTGGGGCTGAGCCCACAGCATGCGATACTTCGCTTGGTGAGGGAACGCCAAAGGACAGGGGCAGGTAGAGGACACGTGATTTCAGTGGGCTTGCTCCCGGGCCATGCCAACTAACGGTTGTGTCTGACGTACCCACCGACCGTTGGCTGTAGGTGTCAGAGGTGACCTGGGAAGAGGAAGACGACCGAGCCAACCAATCGATGACGGCAGGGTTGTCGGTGGAGACACGACCGCTGGATGACACCGGGAGCACTGGCCTCTGGCTGCGACTAGTGCTGCCTCGACCCCTTCCTATGCTGCCACGTCTGCTCGCTCCTGAAACATTGCCTCCTCTGCCACTCCTATGCATGTTGTCTGACATACTCTTTAATTCAACGATTCTGTGTCCCTGAGTAACAATTCTGTGTCCCTGAGTAACAATTCTGTGTCTGTCCCTGAGTAACAATTCTGTGTCCCTCAGTAACAATTCTGTGTCCCTCAGTAACAATTCTGTGTCCCTGAGTAACAATTCTGTGTCCTTGAGTAACAATTCTGTGTCTGTCCCTGAGTAACAATTCTGTGTCCCTGAGTAACAATTCTGTGTCCCTCAGTAACAATTCTGTGTCCCTCAGTAACAATTCTGTGTCTGTCCCTGAGTAACAATTCTGTGTCCCTCAGTAACAATTCTGTGTCCCTCAGTAACAATTCTGTTTCCCTCAGTAACAATTCTGTGTCCCTCAGTAACAATTCTGTGTCTGTCCCTGAGTAACAATTCTGTGTCCCTTAGTAACAATTCTGTGTCCCTGAGTAACAATTATGTGTCCCTTAGTAACAATTCTGTGTCCCTGAGTAACAATTCTGTGTCCCTCAGTAACAATTCTGTGTCCCTGAGTAACAATTCTGTGTCCCTCAGTAACAATTCTGTGTCCCTCAGTAACAATTCTGTGCCTGTCCCTGAGTAACAATTCTGTGTCCCTGAGTAACAATTCTGTGTCCCTCAGTAACAATTCTGTGTCCCTGAGTAACAATTCTGTGTCTGTCCCTGAGTAACAATTCTGTGTCCCTGAGTAACAATTCTGTGTCCCTCAGTAACAATTCTGTGTCCCTCAGTAACAATTCTGTGTCCCTCAGTAACAATTCTGTGTCTGTCCCTGAGTAACAATTCTGTGTCCCTGAGTAACAATTCTGTGTCCCTCAGTAACAATTCTGTGTCCCTCAGTAACAATTCTGTGTCCCTCAGTAACAATTCTGTGTCTGTCCCTGAGTAACAATTCTGTGTCCCTGAGTAACAATTCTGTGTCCCTCAGTAACAATTCTGTGTCCCTCAGTAACAATTCTGTGTCTGTCCCTGAGTAACAATTCTGCGTCCCTGAGTAACAAATCTGTGTCCCTGAGTAACGATTCTGTGTCCCTAAGTAACGATTCTGTGGCCCTAAAGTCTCTCTGGCCCTAACTCTGTCCCTAATACAGACAGGTCTGTCTCTCTTGAATGACTGGAGGCTAATGGAGAATTGTAAGATGGCCGCAATTTATAGCTCCACCATTACACAGTGCTGGCTGGCTGGCTGGCTGCTGATTGGCTAATGCGATCACATGTCATGAATGAATGCATTATGGGTCAGCGCTCCTTGTCTGCGCACCTTCCCAGAGATCCCCGCTCCGTCGCCACACATGTCGCCGCCATTTTTGGGAAAATTCGATTCGTGCATCCGAAGTTGGCTAATTTTCGGATTCGGCGCGAATCGAATATTTCCCAATATTCGAAACGAATTCCACTTCGCCAAGTTCGATTCGCTCATCTCTAGTATTAATGTTTGTAACGGAACCGGATCCAGACTGCACTTGGGTATTTCCGTTATACTCCCGCTTCCCTATCCGAACACCACCGCTGACCATACAAGACGAAAAAGCACCAGACTTGTATGAAAGACGGGAAATGGACTGCTTTACTTTAACACAGATACAAGATATATACACAGGGCGGGGAAATACACACCCAGACAGGAAACACATCAGCAGGCCGTCCCATCAGGGGGAAGGGCTGCCAGAAACATTACATCCCATAATAGTTTGCTAGAACAATGGGATGCAGCCGCATAGCAGTGAACAATGGGATACACCACGCGGCAGTAGACAATACCCAAACGTATACATCCCATAATAGTTTGCTCTCTCAAGCAAGACACATAATAGAACAATGGGACAACCACATGGCATTAAACAATGAACAATCCCCCCACCCCACCTATACATGTCTACACAATATCAGGACAGATCACCCTGTACCCCTGACAGGCACAGGGCGACTTACACATAAGAGGGATTTGGGGGGCTGAGACAGGGGTCTCCCCACCTCTCCAAAGTGAGCTGGGTTTCCATGGGGCCCCCACCCCACCTATCTACTAGACATGTCTACACACTATCAGGACAGATCACCCTGTACCCCTAACAGGCACAGGGCGACTTACACATAAAAGGGATTTGGGGGGCTGAGACAGGAGTCTCCCCACCTCTCCAAAGTGAGCTGGGTTCCATGGGGTCCCCACCCCACCTATCTACTAGACATGTCTACACACTATCAGGACAGATCACCCTGTACCCCTAACAGGCACAGGGCGACTTACACATAAGAGGGATTTGGGGGGCGAGGATTAGAAGGCTTGGATTATATCAGGCGAGGGTTAGAAGGCTTGGATTTATCAGGCGAGGGTTAGAAGGCTTGGATTATATCAGGCGAGGGTTAGAAGGCTTGGATTATATCAGGCGAGGGTTAGAAGGCTTGGATTATATCAGGCGAGGGTTAGAAGGCTTGGATTATATCAGGCGAGGTTAGAAGGCTTGGATTATATCAGGCGAGGGTTAGAAGGCTTGGATTATATCAGGCGAGGGTTAGAAGGCTTGGATTATATCAGGCGAGGGTTAGAAGGCTTGGATTATATCAGGCGAGGATTAGAAGGCTTGGATTATATCAGGCGAGGGTTAGAAGGCTTGGATTATATCAGGCGAGGGTTAGAAGGCTTGGATTATATCAGGCGAGGGTTAGAAGGCTTGGATTATATCAGGCGAGGGTTAGAAGGCTTGGATTTATATAGAAGGCTTGGATTATATCAGGCGAGGTTAGAAGGCTGGATGGATTATATCAGGCGAGGGTTAGAAGGCTTGGATTATATCAGGCGAGGGTTAGAAGGCTTGGATTATATCAGGCGAGGATTAGAAGGCTTGGATTATATCAGGCGAGGGTTAGAAGGCTTGGATTATATCAGGCGAGGGTTAGAAGGCTTGGATTGTATCAGGCGAGGGTTAGAAGGCTTGGATTATATCAGGCGAGGGATTAGAAGGCTTGGATTATATCAGGCGAGGGTTAGAAGGCTTGGATTATATCAGGCGAGGGTTAGAAGGCTTGGATTATATCAGGCGAGGATTAGAAGGCTTGGATTATATCAGGCGAGGGTTAGAAAAAAGGCTTGGATTATATCAGGCGAGGATTAGAAGGCGATTATATCAGGCGAGGGTTAGAAGGCTTGGATTATATCAGGCGAGGGTTAGAAGGCTTGGATTATATCAGGCGAGGGTTAGAAGGCTTGGATTATATCAGGCGAGGGTTAGAAGGCTTGGATTATATCAGGCGAGGGTTAGAAGGCTTGGATTGATTATCAGGCGAGGGTTAGAAGGCTTGGATTATATCAGGCGAGGGTTAGAAGGCTTGGATTATATCAGGCGAGGATTAGAAGGCTTGGATTATATCAGGCGAGGGTTAGAAGGCTTGGATTATATCAGGCGAGGGTTAGAAGGCTTGGATTATATCAGGCGAGGGTTAGAAAGGGATTATATCAGGCGAGGTTAGAAGGCTTGGATTATATAGGGTTCAGGCGAGGGTTAGAAGGCTTGGATTATATCAGGCGAGGATTAGAAGGCTTGGATATATCAGGCGAGGGTTAGAAGGCTTGGATTATATCAGGCGAGGATTAGAAGGCTTGGATTATATCAGGCGAGGGTTAGAAGGCTTGGATTATATCAGGCGAGGGATTAGAAGGCTTGGATTATTATATCAGGCGAGGATTAGAAGGCTTGGATTATATCAGGCGAGGGTTAGAAGGCTTGGATTATATCAGGCGAGGGTTAGAAGGCTTGGATTATATCAGGCGAGGGTTAGAAGGCTTGGATTATATCAGGCGAGGGTTAGAAGGCTTGGATTATATCAGGCGAGGGTTAGAAGGCTTGGATTATATCAGGCGAGGGTTAGAAGGCTTGGATTATATCAGGCGAGGCTTGGATTTAGAAGGCTTGGATTATATCAGGCGAGGGTTAGAAGGCTTGGATTATATCAGGCGAGGGTTAGAAGGCTTGGATTATATCAGGCGAGGGTTAGAAGGCTTGGATTATATCAGGCGAGGGTTAGAAGGCTTGGATTATATCAGGCGAGGGTTAGAAGGCTTGGATTATATCAGGCGAGGGTTAGAAGGCTTGGATTATATCAGGCGAGGGTTAGAAGGCTTGGATTATATCAGGCGAGGGTTAGAAGGCTTGGATTTATATCAGGCGAGGGATTAGAAGGCTTGGATTTATATCAGGCGAGGGTTAGAAGGCTTGGATTATATCAGGCGAGGATTAGAAGGCTTGGATATCAGGCGAGGTTAGAAGGCTTGGATTATATCAGGCGAGGGTTAGAAGGCTTGGATTATATCAGGCGAGGTTAGAAGGGTTATTATAAGGCGAGCTTGGATTATATCAGGCGAGGGTTAGAAGGCTTGATTATATATCAGGCGAGGGTTAGAAGGCTTGGATTTATATCAGGCGAGGGTTAGAAGGCTTGGATTATATCAGGCGAGGGTTAGAAGGCTTGGATTATATCAGGCGAGGTTAGAAGGCTTGGATTATATCAGGCGAGGGTTAGAAGGCTTGGATTATATCAGGCGAGGGTTAGAAGGCTTGGATTATATCAGGCGAGGGTTAGAAGGCTTGGATTATATCAGGCGAGGGGTTCAGGCGAGGGA